TTAAGATGTAATGCTTCACAGCTTGTACGAGGGTGACACTGAGTTCTTAGAAAATAAAAACTGAAGAAAGTAGCAAGTTATTAGTTTTATTATATCTTTTTAAAATGTGTCCATTTACAACAATAGATCGCTGCATCCGATGGAACCACTCGTCCTTAGGGGTCTCTTCGATGGCATTTTGAAACGCAGCCACTGCTTCCTCGGCGCCCATAAAACGTTTTCTTCGAAGGTTTTCTTTTATTTTCGGAAATAAATATAAATCGCAAGGTGGGAGGTCGGGGCTATAGGGTGAGTGACCCAGTAATTTCACGTCTGACGTCGCCAAGTAGTCAATTGTTTGCTTGGCGGCGAGGCGTTGTCGTGGTGAAGGAGGATCCTACTGCGAGGTCATTTCTCCCAAACTATTTCCAAGACAATTGGCAAACAATTGTTAGTGTACCACTCTGCAGTAATTGTTTTTCGTTTAAAACAATTGTTGCGTAACGACCTGTCCTTCCGAAGAACGAGGCCACCATCTTTTTTGCCACGCTTCGACCTCTCTTCACTTTAGTTGGTAACTCTTCGGAAGGAAACACCCAAACAGCAGACTGTCTCTTAGTTTTAGGATCATAACAATAAATCCAGTTTTCGTCACCCGTAAGTATGTTGAACACAGCATTTGAGTCACCTCCGTTAAATCTTTGAACCATTTCACGACACCAACCAACACGACGAAGTTTTTGAGTCTCTGTCAAATTGTGAGGTATCCACCGGGCACAAAGCTTCCTAGCCGCTAAATGTTCTTGGAGGAGCTTGTGCACTTAACTCATACCGATGCCTATGACGAATCTACTGGTAAGTCACTCTTTTGTCAGTCTCTATCATACGCCGCACAACACTGATGTTATCTTCAGTCGTCGCCGTAGAAGGCCGTTCCTCACGCAGATCATCGGTGAGATTAGTGCGACCATGTTTAAACTCATTAAACCAGTTGTAAACAGTGGTTTTTTTTATAGGAGAGGGGGCAAACGAGCATGCGGCTCACCCGATGGTAAGTGACTACCGCCGCCCATGAACAACCGCAACACCAGGGGAATTGCAGATGCGTTGCCGGCCTTTTAAAAAGGAGTAGACTCTTTTCTTGAAGGTCCCTAAGTCGTATCGGACCGGAAAAATCGCTGATGGTAATCGATTCCACAAGGAAGTCGTGCGAGGAAGAAAACATCTTCTAAATCGCACAGTGGTGGACCGCCAATCATCCAGATGGTGTGGATGATATCGGGAGTTCTGCCACGATGTGCGTTCGTGAAATTTGGCGGCTGGGATTAATCCGAACAATTCCTCAGAGCACTCCTCGTGGTAGATGCGAAAGAAAATGCAAAGGGATGCAACATCTCTTCGCAGTGCCAATGAATCGAGCCGATCGGAAAGGACTCGGTCGTCGACGATTCGAGCCGCTCTGCGTTGGATGCGGTCAAGTGGATGGAGCTGGCACTGGGGAGCCCCTGCCCAGAGATGGGAACAGTATTCCATGTGAGGCCGAACCTGCGCCTTGTAAAGTTGTAGGCGGTGTGCCGGCATGAAATACTGTCCCAATCTGCTGAGCACGCCAAGCTTTTTAGAGGCCAATTTAGCCTTCTCTTCAAAGTGACCACGAAACTGCACGTCACTCGATATGTCGACTCCAAGGATTCCGATACTGGCTGAGGCAAGAAGGGGAGTGCCTTGAAACTGAGGAGATACGACAAAGGGGTTCTTTTTAGCGGTAAACGCCCAAACTTGTGTCTTCTGAGGATTAAACGGGACTAGATTTAGTCGCCCCCAATCCAAGACTTTGTTCAGCAAAGACTCGACTTCAGACACAAGTTTGTTCCGGTACTCGGCGACGTTTTCCCGAGAAATATTGGCACGGCCGGTGTATAGAGCATCACCAGTGCTGTCATCCGCATAGCAATGAATGTTACCAGTTAGCAACATATCATTGATATGCAGAAGAAACAGCGTTGGTGATAGCACATAGCCTTGTGGAACACCAGCATTAATAGGCTTGTAGTCGGAGCATGCACCGTCTACAACGACCTTGATGCTCCGATCTGCAAGGAAACTGGTGGTCCAATTGCACAATTTCTCGGGAAGCCCATAGGAAGGGAGCTTCAAAAGAAGCGCTTTGTGCCAAACCCGATCGAAGGCGTTCGCAATGTCCAAACTAACGGCCAACGACCAGAAGATCACCAGCTGATCGACCCCGACGAAAATCGTATTGGCGGTCACTAATCAGCTGGTGATCCTCAAGGTACCGCATGAGCTGGCAGTTAATAATGGATTCCATTATTTTGGAGAACAAGGAGGTGATGGCGATAGGCCTATAGTTGGACGGGTCTGAGCGGTCGCCTTTTTTAGGGATCGGGTGGACAAAAGCTGTCTTCCATGAATTCGAAACCACGCCTTGGGAGTAGGAGTACCGGAAAAGACGCGTTAGGACCGGTGCCAACTCCGGAGCACACGTCCTCAGTACAATTGGGTGGATTCCGTCAGGCCCACTCGACTTCTGGATGTCCAGGGAGAGGAGTGCTTTGCGAACCGAGCGCTGTGAGAACAGCACATCCGGCATGGAGCACTCACACCGCGGGATGGTCTGCGGTGTTTTACCCCCGTCATCAAAAGTCGAGTTGGACGCAAAAAGGGAGCCTAAAAGGTCGGCTTTGTCTTTTGCGGCTTGGGCCAGTGAGTCGTTTATACAGTGGTAGAGCTACGCGGCAGCTTTTGCTGTCGCACGGATGGGCCGGCTCGAACCGGGGTGGTACCACGACCTCACAGAATACTAGCGTGAAGTAGAGGTTTACATCTGCGTTTCGCTTGGTGAGTGCAGGTGGCCGGAGGCCTTTTTTACTGGAAATGAGGCATTCCATCTTAGTCCTCACGGCTGACAACGCATCTACATTTTGATTTGTAATAGAGGATAGATGTAGATGTCTATGGATCGCAGCAACCACTTACCATCAGGTGGACTGTGTGCTCGTTTGTCACCCTTATCCTATAAAAAAAGTCGTCCTCCCTGTGCAGAGATGGTAGTAATGGCTTAGAGAAATTCCCTTGGACAGCCTTGACGAGAGACCAGAATGCACTGGTTCCCGAAGGAAGGTGAACTAGTTTCTCGCCAATTCTGCCTATGTGCTCTGACTTTGCTGTGGCAATAACTCTTTTGAAGGACCTGGAGGCAAAGTTATACTTCTTTTTAAGTGTGCTGGTGTTTACATCCCGAGTCGCTGAAGCCGCAGCCCAGGCTGGATAACACTCCTGCTTACTGCGTAATGCAGTCTTACAGGAGCGACCAAACCAAGGCTGAGATCTGCCTCCGATGGGTACCACAGATGATGGAATAAATAGTTCCATTCCCTGTAGCACCACATCAGTGACAAAGTCAGCAACAGCGCTGGGATCATTCGGCGAGAAGCAAACCCTCCCCCATGGGTAGGATGCAAAGAAAGACCGCATTCCGTCCCAATCCGCCGATCTGTAATGCCAAACACGGCGGACACCTGCAGAACGTAACCGCGAGGGGAGCGTGAGTGACACCACACTCCGGATCAGACAATGGTCCGAAGAGCCGAAAGGGGCATCGACAGAAACCTGATATCCGTCCGGATGAGAGGTCAGCAGAAGGTCCAACAGGGAAGGTGGTGATGATCCTCCACATCTGGAATCCGCGTAGGCGAAGTAACCAGTTGCGTCAGACCATATGCCAAGGCAAAATCATAAACAGAATTCCCCGCATGATCGGTTAAACGTGAACCGAGCCATTCGGCGTGGTGGGAGTTAAAATCGCCAAGGATCACGATCTCTGCAGATGGGACCTCTTGTAGCAAGGAATCTGTAGCCATTTGGACGTGGTCGATGAGTCGATCTGTTTCGGCATTAACGCTATGGGACCTATAGAGGCACCCGTAGACGCGGGGATGGTCGGCGCTGTCTACGCGTAGCCAAAGGATGGACAGGTCCGAACCTTCAAGACTACCGAGGCGTCGAGAACAGATGTCCTCTCTGACATACACGCAAACTCCAGCCCGAGGCACAAAGGAGTGCTCCAATTTGTACCCCGGGTAGGAGAGATACGAAGTATCAGCCGGAGAGGACACCTGCGTCTCGGTCAGAAAGAACAATGCCGGCTTCGCCGTCTCGAGATGGTAGTGGACGGTGTTTAGGTTCGAGTGAAGTCCCCTGATGTTGCAGAAATTCACGGATAATGTGGCAGGGGTCGCCTTGGTATTGTTGCTCAGTTTGCCCCGAGCAGTTATGGTACAAGATGGGGCTTCATCGTGAACGGCCAATCGAAGTCTATCATAACTTTCTTATAGACTTAAATGACATCGAAAGTCATAAAAATCATTGTACGAAAATTTGCTCGCGTTAAATTCATGCTGACGTGACACAGACAAATCGTAAACAAATGACAAATTAATAAAATACATATACAATAATATTGGAAAAGAGTTCCATTTTCAAAATTTGAACTTATTTTTTTATTACCTATATCCGTTTACAAGCGCCTTTCAAAAAACATTCAGTGTAGCCCTCGTAATACATACTGGCTCTCTATACCATTCAGACCGGAACACGCACTGCTACTTTGCAGCACTTGCCTGCACCTACCCATACTAACTCCTAGACAATGAGTTATATCACAATTGTATAATATATCGTTTAATGTATTTTGCTGATACCTCCTCCGTTGTAATTCGAAGTGTCGATATAATAAACGTTATAGATGATATTTAAAAAAAATAATAACAATAACATTAAAATAAATTGATTTATTATTTCGTTAGAAATTGCCTTAAATATTTTAATACCCTGTGCTACATCCTTATACATTTAAAAATAATCTACAACAAAAACACTTATATAATAACAATAAAGAGTATTAAGTACTTTGGCACATTAACTCGAAGTCTCGAAGTATCAAACTCGATCACAGAGTATTCCATTCACATGTCGCGTGCGTTTAATCTCGATAAACAACCTTAAAGCTTGTTAAGGAAGGGCGAGATTGAGGCGAAGTCTTCGCATTCGGGAATGAGTTTTCCTTTGAATTTTATGCAAGATTTGGCGCAAAGTGGACCCTCGAACCAAGCTCCGAGCATCTTCTTGCACTGGGCACAGTTTTCGATGCATATTTCCATGGGGTCATAGCCGTTTGCTGTAAGAATAAAATATAAATCTTAACCAATTATTGATAATGACTATCCGACCGAATTTCGGTCACGGCGACCAATCTAAACGGAGACAAGACATCTACGCAGGACGGGATTATAATGCACGAGTGCGAGCGTAAGCACAGAAGCACTCTCTTGTCCTTTATTCGCATACTCTGATGGGACGGCAGCCTGACACAACCTGACAGAGCAGGTGCACAACTAACGGCTTTACATCTATCCCAATAACTGATTTTGGGCCCGACCTGGGATTCGAACCTGGGAAAACATGATCAACAGTCGAGGTTACACTTACTAGGCTGTTTAATGTAAGTTATTTTATTGTTCACAACAAATTAGTTAGGTTATCATGTAATTAATTAATTCATTAATTACAGCCTATTAAAGTCCACTGCTGATTATAGGCCTCCTCATAGATTACCACATAAAGACATTTGCTATAGTTGCCACGGTATTTACATTTTGCCATAGTTTATTTTTATTTTCTATTTGCTACTAGGAAGACGCTACCGCCCAGGTGCTGTATTGTTTCCCTATGTCGTCTCTTATGACACCCATAAGAGGTTATGGGGTACGTAGTGGATACACCGTTCTTACACCGTCACTACACGGTCCAGTGGGTTATTTTTTGAATCCAAAATACCGATACCTGTATTATGTATAAGAAAAAAAGAAAATGCATTTATTTGCCAGAAATAGGCGGTAATATAAATTACTCTATACAAAGATTTTTCTAAGCAACGATGCCTCTATACCTCTTTATCTTATTGAGTTCAAAACTAAATTCGATAAAATAAATAAAATATCTGTTCATAAACGTCATATGGGTAAGTACATCATTTTATAAATCTTTGGCGTTTTTTGGCTTTGAATTGGCGAATTTTACACGCCATATACATACCATACCATACAACATAGGTACAGGTTTTCTCATTATAGTTATCTTCACCGCTGAGGCATTCTGAGTCACAGGTAACGTTGCCTGGAACGTCAATCTCTTATCTATTACAAAGGCTTTTCTCCATAATAATAATAAAATTAAAAGGCAAATGAACTTGCGGGCCGCTTCAGAAACGAGAAATTGTCCTACACGTTTTAATAACTGTTTGGGTGCTTTACTCATCGGCGTCAAGTTTTCATTTAAAACTATTTTATTAAAGCGATAATATTTTCTATTTAAATACAATTTTGTTTATTTTTTGTTAAATATAAGTTGTTAAAAATACTGAGTAAAATTTGTAATGATGTCGGCGGGGAATGAAATTGCTGACGAACGAGGCTGCTGGCCTTTGTGCCACAATGGTTCGTAATAATACAGGGTACGTTGAGATAGAGCACTCTGAAAAGTAAAATATAAGAGTCAGAGAATTTGGTCTTGTAACATAACCTGAGGTTAGAAATACAACGATACTTTATATATTCTTTTATAATATATATTTGCTATATATCGTTATTACCACTTTTCTAGTTCTGGGAATAGAATAATAGGTACACAATTTAGACATTTTTATTATATTCCTATACAAATATTAGGACAAAGTGAAACATATATTTCTATAACGTGAAATTTATAGTATTTTAAAATATAAATAAATAAGCAACAATAACAAATGACATTAATAAATATAAGGAATAAAACTAAATTTAAAGACGTATCAAAGACTACATGATCATCGCATGTGTATTCACTCGTTAATCTTCCTGATTTACCACGTGCTCGGCGGTGAAGGGAAATATTGCAAGTAACACCTGCATGCCTGTAAAATAAAATAATACGAAGACATGTGGAGTCCGCCAAAAATCGTTAAATTAGCGCAGCGGATTAATTCCTCCCAGAAATAAGATGCTCTATTCCCAGCTGTGTGACGTATAATATAGGGCAGGCAAATATAATATAGGAAAATTAAGAGGCAAACAGCCTGTAACTGTATTTTTTTTACTTTGTTACATAACGTACCTTATAGGTACATTATGTAGATTTGTTCTTTCCATAAAGAAGTTGCAAACAATTACCATATAAATATAAATTTTCGTCCACTCCCCCGTCCTAAGCACCGGCTTAATCAAAATCGTGGACACATTCATTCACAAACAAAATTTATTGTATCATATTTTTAAACACACTGCATAAACATTGACTTGATACAAAATTCACGACGCTGAGTATTTACTAAAATGGCGCTAGTAAGGCCACATAATGAAGGAGACGAAAAAAATCGACAACAGCAAATATTGGCCGTAGGTACTATACCCGAGCCAAGGGAAAAGAAACAAACGGAAAAGTAAGAGGCAAACAGACAAAAATGTGAGAGGATGATCTTAAGAAAATAGCAGCTTCATGTACTTGAAAAGAAATAAACAATTGGAAATCTTTAGAGGAGACCTACGTCGTAAAGAAATCGGCCTTGGAAGAATTCGCCCCTAGCATTGATATAAGGTATTAATAAATAAGGCTACATTTTTTCATTCATAACAGCTTATCCAAGTTCAATCCTGTATATAGGCCTTCACATAAATGGTCTTTAATTTGTAAGACGCTGCTGACCATCTCCTTACTTTCCTCTGACGCCAGTCACGGCACCCACGGGGAGATATATGGTAGTGAATATTCTTACACCGCTACTACATTATATATATATGTATATTGAATAAAGAAGAAAAATAAAGTTTATATTATTATTATTATGTTAAATTATATTCGTAGAGCGACAACTTGCTATAAATATTCACAAAACCCTCATTTAATGGATAAAAAAAAGGAGGTCGGGACGGTGCGAGACTAAATTATTGCGTTGTAATGTAGTTATAGAAATCTTCATAAAAAGGTCCCTTATTGAGAATATTTTATTTTTAGATTTGAAAATTATTTCATAATTTTTTTGTATAGCGATTCTGAAAATATTTTTGTATAAAAATATTTATTGTGTCTTTTTAATTTTCTTCTCCTTTGGTCTATTTAAAACACTTACACCATACTAATTACACTTACTACCGGGTGGGATTATAGTCAAGAACTGGCTATTAAGTAAAAAAAAATCAAACGTTATACGTCAAAACGAAACTAACAACGATTAGAGTTACACAATCGCACCGCGGGGGCAGGCGCATTGGTTATCGTAAAGGTGATACACCTACATGAGCAGCAGCTAATGCTGCAGCATTAGCTGCTGCTCATTATCATCACGGTGTAGAATAGAATAGAATAGAATAATTTTTTATTCAATATATATATTACACTATATTATTGGGAGCACTAAGCTCGAAGTTGTTGACGAGTATGTTTACCTGGGGCAAATAGTCTGATTAGGTAAGTCCAACTTCAACCGAGAGGTCAATCGACGGATTCAACTCGGCTGGTCAGCTTTCGGGAAACTACGACACATCTTCTCGTTAGACATGCCTCAAAACCTTAAAACGAAATTGTACAACCAGTGCATGTTGCCAGTGATGACTTACGGATCTGAGACGTGGTCCTTCACTGCTGGTCGTATGAGGAAGCTCAAGGTCGCTCAGCGAGCCTTGGAGAGGGCTATGCTCGGGGTTTCTCTGCGTGATAAACTTAGAAATGAGGATATCCGCAGTAGAACCAGAGTAACCGACATAGTCCAACGGATTAGTACGCTGAAGTGGCAGTGGGCCGGCCATATAGTTCGAAGAACCGGCAACCGATGGGGAAGAAAGGTTCTCGAGTGGCAGCCTCGTACTGGTAGGCGAAGTGTAGGTCGACCCCCCACGAGATGGAGTGACGATCTGGTAAGACATGCAGGAAGTCGATGGATGCAGGTGGCTCAGGACCGTGCTTTGTGGCATTCCTTGGGGGAGGCCTATGTTCAGCAGTGGACTTGTGAAAGGCTGTAATGATGATGATGATGATATTTTACATGAGTAATTCTTATTAAAAGTCATTTTTTACTTTACCACTGGTTCGAAAAAAACCCTCTGTCCTGGGAAGAACCAGCAAGAAACCCAGCGGGACTTTGTTTTAAATAAATTTTAATGGTTATTAAAAGTGCAAAGTTTCAATCCGACAACCAATGATTAATGTTAATTAATGGGTGGTAGGACACCCTTTCTGCCTAGAAGCCCGTCTCGGACACCTATTATTTCTGTCTACCGTCAAACAGCATGCGAGGACTGCTGACCTTTTTTTTTTTTTTTGTTTTTTTGCGGATGGAAAATCATCTAATGACGCCTTTCGCTGTGGGTGGAGCGGAAGGGAGTGTCAGACTTTTACTGACTAAAAACCATCCGTGTTCCTTCAGTGCCCTTACGTTCCGGAGCCGCGGTATCTCTTTCGAACAGCCCGCAGCCCCGGCAGGCGTCGGCCCTTGCGGGCCCCTTCACGCTGCTGACAGCTCTTTGAGGCGCGCGTGGAACAAAACGCGCCGTCGACACGGCCTGTCGTCGTTAGACGGACGGACGGCGAGCTACCCATTGCTCGCCGTCCACAGGCCCGCGCCTACGGTGGTCGGGGGCCACGACGTAGCCCCCGACGCCCGGGGCGTCTCCCGCGGCGGCCGGGAAGGAAAGCTGTTGCTCTTTCCTTCTCCCGCTCCGCCACCTCCTTCGCTAGCATCACTGCTTCGCAGAAGGTGGTGACGGCATCCCATTCCGTCTCGCTCCGGACCATGGCTTCGACCAGAGCCGGACGCGAGAGGTCGCCGCCGCCTATCGCCGCTACGAGGACACGGCGGTGCTCCGCCCAAGCAGAGCACACCTCCACGGTGTGCTCCACCGTGTCCTCCGGTCGATCCTCGCAGTGGGAGCACCCGGGCGTTTCCTCCCGCCCGATTCGGTGCAGGAACCTCCCGAACACACCGTGTCCGGTGAGGACCTGCGTCAGGCGGAAGGTGAGGACGTCGTGGCGTCTCTCAAGCCACTCCTCAAAGAGGGGTCTTATCGCCGCTATAGTGGCGTGCCCAGCACGGGGTTGCGACAGTCGCTCTCTCCATGTCGCCATGAGATCATGCCGGAAGTCTGTCCG